ACAGGGTCAGAATCACCAATATCACTGTCTCTCACCCCCACATCTCGTCCTACTAGAAGGTCTTCAGGGACAATAGGAATTTTTCAGCTCCATTATAATCTTTGGCACCACGGTCATCTACGTGATCTGTTATTGACCGGAATATTGCTATGCAACTATATTTGATTTCGTTCAGCCCTCACAACCTGCAAGTAGGTATTGTTCCATTTGATGGATGAGGAGAGGGAATCCCAGAAAGTCAGCCTGTGAGCAGCAGCATGCAGACCCCCCACACCAGGCCTGAGATGAGGGCCCCTGCTCTTCATAATGGGAGGGGGGAAGAGTGAAATTAAGAGAGAAATGTTGAAATAGTATAAGAAAAATCTGAGAGTTGGTCTCAGCTTTGCTCCTTTCTAGGTAGTTGCAAAGGTTGGGTACAGCCTGAAAATAGAGAAATAAATGATTGACCTCAGATATGTTCCATCTCTTTCCTCCTTAAGTGCCTGTTTTCAAAAGCACAAATAAAGGGGAACACGTTAAAATTAGATCTATTATCCTTATCTTAGGAAAAATGATCTTCAGTAATTGAAAAAAAATCTTTTTGGAGGGGAGGGAGTAAGAGGTTAGAGAATGAGGTGGAATTTTCTGACCTAAATATGCTACTTCCCCGTCCCTGAGAGACTTAGAAGCAGAAGAGAAATTCAGGTTAGGTGGTCCCTTAGGCTGGGACCCCTGCTCTGTGATGCCGCAGCTAGGGCTATGCAACTGTTTGTTTGTTAGTTGCTCTTTAATTTCTACCAATAGGGGGCACTGAAGGAATACTGAAAGCTGGAAGAGGGAGGAAGGGACTTGCTTTGTATTTATTTGCTGTTCTTGTCAAATAAGGCCCTACAGCCCCTCTTTACCCTGAAGGGAGCAGCTAGTTCCATTAGCAATTGGTTCTGGCTTCCAGCTTCTTCCTGTACTCCCAGAGTCAGCCTCATTATATTTCCTGAGAAATACCAGCACTGGGCAGGCCATACCCCATTCTCAAAGATCTGAGTCCCAGTTTCATGGGGCGTTTCTTCCAGGATGTAACCCCCACGTCTTCCCTTTGTTCTTCAGCCCTAAGGATGGCAGTCGCTTCTATTAAATGGTAGTTACTTTCTCTGTTTCAATCTTAGTATCCCTTTTTTACTTTTTAGTCCTCCAACACGTTTTTTTTTCTTTTCCAGACATATCCTGCATGATCCAACCTCCATTTAACCAATTCCTGATAGCAAATTCTTTCTGTTAAAATAACTAGTGTGGTTCTTGTTTTCCTGACTGGACTCTTACTGATTCTGTTGTAATTCGAGAACATTTTAGGAAGGACTCTATTACAGCAATACATCATCAGTATTATTTTGAGTTGCTGCTATTTTTACTTTTTAATTATAATTGTATTAGTTTAGCTCCACCATTGTCATCTTAAGTCTTGTTGGTTAAATGGAGTGTATGTTTGCTGCCAAAGTATTTTGTGCCAATCATTTTGATATCTAAACTTTAGGACTGGTATGCATTTCAGTTCAAGTATGACTCATTCATGGCCTTCCAGGGGCTAAAGCAGACATATACATAGTCCTCCCTTATCTCCTAAACCTTCCTAACTTGAACAGTGACATTTCATTATTTCACCAAGTCTTTCCCCCAACCAGGAAGTGAGAATGGGTGGGGTAACTGGGACTCAGAGCTTTTTCCCTTGTGATGGGCTATCCCTTGTTTGAGAACTGACAGTTTTCTGCATACCCCTCCTCTCCTCTCTTTTTCTCTTCAGGATCTCCTAGGTGCTGCTCAGAAGGCAGTCACCAGTTCACTGGAAGGCTTGTCTTTAATATGTTAACAAACTCACCACTCTGTCCTCAGATGCCTGTGGTTCTGCAAGATGAGTGTGACTGAGAACTTGCTAGGTATTCTGTTGATGTTTCCCCATGCATTGAAGTAATGAGCTTAGTCATAGCTTTGTTTTTACCTGTGACCCAGAACTCACCTTAGGGAATTTTGGTACCTTTAAATCTAACCTCTTACCCACTTCTGTTAACATCAGGAAGTAGCAGTCCTAGTCTCTCCCCATCTCAACTTTCCCACTCAAAATACAATTTTTTCCTTTCCTAGTTTAATTCCTAAATGGTTTCAGGGGTGGTGCATAATAATAATAACAGTAGTAATATTATGAAGTTACTGAATTCTAATTAATACTTTGAGTCAAATACTACACTAAGAATTTTACATTTACGACCTCCCTCGATCCTTACAACAATTCTGTGAGTTAGTCACATTACCGCAAGTTTCAAAACGAAGAAACAGGCTTGGACAGGTCATTCACTTAATGAACAACAGAACTGGAATCTGAATTCTGGTTAATGCAATTTCAAAGTCTGTGCTTTTAATGGTTTCCTTATGTGCCTCTTACACTGAGAAAATAAAGCAAATACATTCAAGATGTGAACTGTAAAATAGCACGCATATAACTACTAAAGTCATAATATTCAGTGTATGTAATGAATTGTTTCAAACACATTAAAAATAAAATGAAAAGACAAGCTAATATTGAGTTTATGTAGGACACACCACTTAGCTACCACTGTCTTCTAAGAGAGGAAGAGAAACCCTAGCTTCCTAAAGCAAACAGATTCCTTGGAAAGTAAATTCATTCTGTCAGGAAGGCAAAGGGGAAAGTACCTACCCTGGAATGCAAACATTTGGCTATTAGGAGATAAGTTTTATTATCCTTTAAATGAGACCAGATAACTCCAGGTCTAACTCCCTTGTAATGTGGAAGAGGAGATATTCCATGGCTTGCCAATTTCCTTTGATCAAGAAGAAAAACTATTCAAAGACATTAAAATATTCATGGAGCATTGTTTCCCTGACATCCTATTATTTGAATATACTCTATTTGATTTGTTCATCTCCTGTTGATAGATATTTGGGTTGTTTTATTAATGAGTTGTAAGAAGTCCTTTATGTATCCTGGATACAAGTACTTTGTCAGATATACGTATTGCAAATATTTTTGCTCACTTCGTGGCTTGCCTTTTCATTTTTACAGTGATGTCTGCAAGAGCAAAAGTTTTTAATTTTGATGAAGTCAAATTTTTCATTTTTTTCTTTGTGACTGTGTTGTCAGTGAAAAAGAACCCAAACTCTGTAAAATAATTTAAAGAGGTTTATTCTGAGCCTAATATGTGCAACCATGGCCCAGAGAGCCACACCCAAGAAGGCTTGAGCAAGTGTTCTCACTGTGGTTGGGCTACAGTTTGGTTTTATACATTTCAGGGAGACAGGAATTGCACATAAAGTCATAAATCAACACATGGCCCAAAAAGGCGGGACATCTTGAAGCAGGCGATTATAGGTGATAGGTATGTTAAAGATTCTTTGATTTGTAATTGGTTAAAGAAATGAAACTTTGTCTAAAGGCTTGGAATGTTTTGAGATAAAGAAGCCTGTTAATCAGACACAAGTCACCAGACATAGACTCAAGTGATCTGTTAAGTAAATTGAGGACATGCAGGTATGGTTTAATCTTTGTTCTGCATAGCCTTCGGCCTGTAAATGAGTTACAAAGGATATTTCCAAGAAGGGAAGGGGGCGTGAGGAGATAGGTCTGACCTCCCTTCTCATGGTTAACAACTCAGCTTTTGGGTCTTTTTGGGATTTCCTGGCCAAGAGGGGGTCCATTCAGTCATCTGGCAGGGCACTTAAGATTTTATTTTAGTTCACAGTGTTTTGGTGTCCCATCTAAGAAGTCTTTGTGTATCCCAAGGTCAAAAAATGTTTTTTTTCCTAGAATGTTATAGTTTTAGCTCTTATAATTAAGTCTACAATGCATTAAGAGTTAATTTTTGTGTATGGTGTGTGGAAAGAGTAGAGATTAATTTTTTTCTATAGTGATATCCTGTTGTTTCTACAGTATTTGTTAAAAAGACTTTCATTCCACAGTAAATTGCTTCCGCCATTTTGTTAAAAATCTATTGATGAGATACACACACACACCCACACACACACACATATGGTAATTTCCGGATCTCTACTCTTTTCATTGGTCTTTTTGTCTATTTTTACACTG